GGCTCCACGTTTGCGGGCCGAGTGAAGGCACGGACGGATGCACGTGAGTAGGGCTGTCAGGTGCTTCTCACACCTCATCCTGTGCAGTCCTCACGCGGCTGAGCAAGTACCGGGTTGTGCAGGAAGGCTGGCTTCTCTCTCCACCCTCCCTACCTCCCTGCCCCCCGCGACCCCTGGGCCTTCTCTTGACCTGGGCCTCCATTTCCCATGGAGGGTCCTGACACATGAGTAAGTTGCATTTTATGTGCCCGTAATAAGATCTAAATAAATACACATCCATTGACAATCATCTCGGCTTTTCACCTGTCTCCCTGGACACCCGGGAATGTTGGCTTCGGGCCACAATCAGCTCCATTCAATTTAACAATCTATGTTGTTCTCCCCTCCCGCCCCCCAGCGGGGTCCTGCCAGGTGGTGGCTCTCGTGCTGAGGGGCAGACGCTCTGGGCGGGATTTAGGTGGGAGGCGAGGATCTGCCACACTGAGAGAGGCCAGAAAGGCAAGGCGGCATTTCCAGGGGAGGCAATGGGGTGAGCAGAAACAGTGGGGAGCGTAGTTAGGGTATGTCTGGGGTCCAGACAGAGGGAGCGTTTTGAAGAGCTGAGGGTAATAAGATTGGAAAGAGAGCTCAATACATGCATTTCCTCTCCATTTCCCTTCCTTTAAAAGATTTTGAGCCTGGCCGGTATTGCTCAGTGGTTGAGTGCGACCCATGAACCAACAGGTCCCTGGTTCCATTCTCGATCAGGGCACATGCCTAGGTTGCGAGCTCCATCCCCAGGAGGATGCAGCCCATCAATGTTTCTCTTTCATTGATGTTTCTATCCCTCTATCCCTCTCCCTTCCTCTCTCTCTAAAATCAATAAAAAATAATTTTTTTGAGAACCAGGTCTGGAGCCAGGGATGCCCGGGGACAGGGCTCGCGTGACCCAGACCAGAGCTCTGGCTCCACCCGGCCCTGGCTCTGGGGCCGGTCTCCCAGCCCCCTTCTCTGAGCCCCCAGCTCCTTAGCGATGCCCATAAAATCCACGGCAGCCTCGGTCTCCACACGCCCTCCTCACTCCATCCTCCCCTCCCGCCAGACAGCAGCCCAGCCCCTAATAAGCTCGCCTGGTGGGGTGGGTGGGGGCTGCCATTGTCCTCATTTGCAGGTAAGTTCCTGGAGGGTAAGTAGGTCGGTGGCCCAAGGTCAAGTGACCAGTGACAGATCTCTCAAGGCCTCTTGAGCAAGACTGGCCTTACCCATCAGATGACCTTCCTCAGCCCTGGACGCCCGGGAGGGCCCAGGTGTGGGGGCAGCCAGGAGGGTGGCCACCCACCTTGCCCTCCTGGGATGGCCGAGAGGGTGGCGAGGGGCAGAGGGGAAGTGCTGTCCCCCACAAAAAAAAAAAATGACCCCCATTGCTAACCAACGCTAAGCTGCTCTGCTTTGTGAACACACGAATCACCTGCCACAGCTGGCACGCGGGCACCCAGCTGGCATGTGGAGCACCCAGCTGGCACGCGAGGCACCCAGCGGGGTAGGGTTTCTCCCCTGGACCCCGCACCCTGGCTGCTGTAGCCCCGCTGGTGGGCCTGGGGCTCTCACTGGTTAGTGCCTGGCGCCCTCTAGTGGTGCAGGCGAGCCTTCCCTCTGCAGCCGGCCAGTGGGGCCGGGACAGAGCTGGGCCTCCAGGACCAACTTTCCTTGGGGCCTGCTGCGCAGGGAGCCGCCTGCTGCCTTCAGAGCTCGTCTCCGAGACGCCTGGGAGGGAACCCGGAAGGAGGACTTGGACTCCGGAGGCTGGGGTCCTGACCCAGCTCCCCTAGTTGCTTAGCTGCTCACACACCCGCCCCCCTGCCTGCAGTGTGTGGGCTGCAGAAAGGGGGGGGAGGGGTGCTGTGGCAGGGCCACCCGGCTGTGGACAGCAGGGGAGTGCAGTCAGGCTCTCCAGTGCCCCTCGGAGCGTTGCTTAGCAACGGTTACCTAGGGACACGGATGAAGCCTGGTGTGTTTGTGCTCCCGCGTGGCCAATGGGGAGCAGTGGAGACATTTTTTTAACCTTCTAACTATGGAGCTGATACCTACGTGTGGCAACCGGCAATCTAAAGTAAAATAAAGGAAAAAATCAAGTGGGACGCCAACCGCAATCCCACTGCCCCAAAGTAACTACTGCGCGCAGTGGGGCCAGAGCTTTGGGGTGCTGAGAGGAGTGAGTTATGAAATGGGGACTGAGGCCTGCTCCAGGGGGAGGAGGCTGGGGAGGGGTATTTGGTCAGCCCCTCCCTCTCCTCGCGCTGCCTTTTCCTCTGCCTTCCCGTCTTTTCCTCATCTCTCTGCGTCCACATCTGTCCTCGGCCCCTGTGCAACTCGGGACAAGGCCAGGGTGTTACTGACTAGGGTGCACGGAGGCCTCACGGGACACTTGGCACGTTTATTCGAAACGCTGCGCTACCCTCAACAGCAGCCTTTCTCCTAAAATGCTTGCAGGGGGCGTTCAGCTGCTTTCCCGAGGCTCGGGCATCTGGGGAGACACTGCACAGCTCTGAAACCTCTGCCCAGAGCCGGGCACACTGGGGCCTTGGACCTCCTCCGGATGCCAACCTCTGGCTCTGCCAGCCCAGGGCCAGCCAGCCCACTGAGGAGGAGGGCGCTGGGAGGGCAGGCCCGAGGTCCAAGGAAGAGATACCAGAACTGTTTTCCAAGAGGGGACCCTTTCCCCGTCTTCCTGGAGGACCGGGGCCACAGCCACCTTCAGTCAAAGCTGGCCCCGGCCAGACCTGGGCGAAGCTTCGAGGGGAAGGGCTCGCCTGAGCCCCGTGTGCGCACCAAGGCATCAGCCAGGGCCTGGCAGTTGGGAGGTTCTCAGTAAAGGTATGTGGGTGGGTTTAGGCCTGGAAGGGGGTGGCCTCCTGTCACCTTGGGCAGCTGCCAGCAGGCCTAGTGCATTCGAGCCTCAGACAGTGCTCCCCACAGACACAGGGCCTCGAGTCCTCTAGAACCATGACTTACAACGAAGCAGAGCAAAAGCAGAAAAGCGGGGGTAATAAAAAATAAAACTTTATTAAAGCGGCTAAACTTAGCGGGACCGAATCATACTTTGTCAGTGCAGCACAGTCTCACCCTGTGCGTTCCTGCTGCGGACAATTCCAAGCTGCTTGCGCTCATGCAAAGAGGATGCCCTTGTCGTGTGTTGCGCCCCTCACCTCCTTGACGTGGCATCACACTGACGCTGCTCTGGGCTCCCGGTGGGGGACCACAGTGGGAATGTGTGGGGTTCACCTGGCTTCTAGCATCTACCGCCCCTGCCCAGCATCTTCCGACGAGGGCTGCTTGGTCTGAACAGATTTAAGGAGCTTTTACACAAGGATCTGGAGACGGCTGAGCCTGTTCTCACCCTGCCCGGCCTCTCGGGCGAGGGCCCTGTCACCGAGGGGCGGGGGCTACCTTAGTCCTTCTTGCCTCCCGGGGCCGGGTTTCTGGTGAGGACCTTCCCGGAGCTGTAGGGGGTCAGCGTGGTCACTGTCGGGGACTCCAGCTTCACTCTGTCCAGCAGGGTCTTCTTGAGGGCGGCTGGGGAGACCTTTTCCTGGTCGGCCATGGACTGCAGCTCTCTGGAGACGGCGCCCGAGAGGGGAGGAGGAGGGAGGCATTAAACCCTGGAGCCAGACCGTCTCAAGGCTTCCCCACCCACATAACTCCCACCCTTGCTGACTGGATACCACCCCAAATTAGAAGCCCTACACACCAAACACTCCCCCACCTTCTTAGACCTCTCCTCGCGCTGCCTTTTCCTCTCCTTTTTTCTTTTTTCGTTAATCCTCCCCCTAGGATATTTTTCCATTGATTTTTCAGAGAGTGGAAGGGAAGGGGAGAGACAGAGAGAAACATCGATGTGACAGAGACGCATCGAGTGGGTGTCTCCTGCAAGAACCCCAACCAGGGTCGGGGATCGAGCCTGCAACCAAAGTACATGCCCTTGACAGGAATTGAAGCCAGAACCCTTCAGTCTGCAGGCTGACGCTCTATCCTCTGAGCCAAACTGGCGAGGGCTGGACGTGCTCTTTAACTAACGATGGGTTACTACCTAGATGTAGGGCACCAAGTGTGTCTGTGATCATAAGGGGAGAGAGACAGTGTGGAGAGTCACAGGGTTTGAAGTCATGAACTTGAAGCTGAACCCTGTGTCCATCACTTACTAGCCCTTTGGCATGGGGAAAACTGTCCGAGTCTCAGCCTCCTCACCCACCAATCAAAGCTGATCCCGACAATGGAACTGTGGGGAGAACTAAATGACGTAAGGCCTGCAAACCTTCAGCTACTAAGTGGTGGCTACGAACAGCACAGGTTCCAACATGGCGAATGGGACCAAAGACGACTGGTTCAGCCCAGCCCAGGGGCCGGCTGGGAACGGGGGCCTGGGCGGAGGAGAGAGACCCACCGTGTGCGGATGCAGGAGGCCTCGACGGCGTTGATGAGCAGGGAGCGGAAGCCCCCGCTCTCCAGGAAGTGCAGGGCATGGATGGTGGCGCCCCCGGGGGAGCAGACATTGTCCTTGAGCTGGCCTGGGTGCTGCTCCGAGTCCAACAGCATCTTGGCAGCGCCCTGGAGCACAAGCGGGAAGTGAGAGGAACACACCTTCCCCAGGCCTTGCCCCAGCTTCCGCACCAAGCCCTGCCCCAACTCACTGACCCACACGACACCCCCCGCCCCCAGGCCACGCCCTGGCTCAGAACACGCAGAGGGAAGGTACTAACCAGCAAGGCCTGGGCCCCCAGCCGGATCGCCAGGCGCCGCGGGAGGCCCATCTTCACCCCACCGTCAGCGAGCGCGTCCAGGGCCATGAACGCCTGTGGAGACACTCGGTGAGTCTCGGGGCAGCAGGCACTCAAGGGCACCCCCGAGGGCCTGCTTTCCCCGATGACTGGAGCTAGAGCCCAGGACCAGTGTCCCCCACCAGCTCCCCAGAGGTGGGGGCCCCCCGGCCCCCGCAGCCTGCCAGCCCAGCCTGCTCCGAGTCCCCAGGAGGCTGAGGAAGCCGATGTGAGGGAGTGAGGGCTCACGTAGGCGGGCCCGCTGCCGCTGAGCCCCGTCACGGCGTCAATCAGGTCTTCCTCCACCTCCGTGCAGAAGCCCACGCTACTCATGAGCTGCTCCAGGAGCTGCCCGTCCTCCACCAGGGCGTGCGTGCCCGTGGCGTACACCGTGGCGCCCTCCCGCACCACCACGGGCGTGTTGGTCATGCAGCGGATCACCTTGGGGGCCGGCTGGAAGGCCGTCAGCTTCTGCAGGGAGGAAGAGGGCGAGGGAGTTGCTAGGGCACGGCTCCTGCGAGCGGCCCCCCGCCCCTCCCACCGCGCCCGGGAGCTGAGCCCGGCACCTTCTCCACGGAGCTAATGGTGACGCCGGCGGCACAGGAGACCACGATGTGCCTGGCCTGGACGTCGGCCCCGATCTCGTCCAGGATGAAGGGGATGATGTGCGGCTTCACGGCCAGGAATAGGACGTCGCTATGCCTGACCGTCTCCTTGTTGCTCCGGGTCAGGTTCACCCCCAACTTCTGCGGGAGGAAACTGCCTGCTCACAGTGCGGGTGAGGGCGGCCTCGCCGGGCACAGGCCCTCCCAGGGAGCAGCTGAACCCCTGCGGAGACGCCTATGCCAGCCGCAGCTGGGAATGCCCTGCCTTGTCCCTTAGGGTCTGCCCCTAACCCAGCCGTGGGCAAACTACGGCCCGCGGGCCAGATCCAGCCCATTTGAAATGAAAAAAACTAAAAAAAAAAAAAAAAAAAAAGACCGTACCCTTTTATGTAATGATGTTTACTTTGAATTTATATTAGTTCACACAAACACTCCATCCATGCTTTTGTTCCGGCCCTCCGGTCCAGTTTAAGAACTCATTGTGGCCCTCGAGTCAAAAAGTTTGCCCACCCCTGGCCTAACCCCACTGGCACATGCTACTACTGGGCAAGGGAGCACAGGTGCAGAGCATGGACCCGCGTCTCCATGGCAACCAGGAACCGGCTGTCCCACATCCCCACCGGCGTCTGCCAGGCCAGGCACCCCTGTGCCAGGTAAGAAATCTCCAGGGCTGGGAAGTGACACAGGCCCTAACCCATCTGGCGTCCGTGCGGTCCAGGGCGGGCTGCAGGCACCCCTCCCTGCGGGACTCCGGTGCTGGGAGCACCAGCCATCCTCCGCACAGACGCTGCCTGTCATCTGCCTCCTTGGTCCTCCCCTCCCACACGGCCCAGGTGTGGGCTGAAGACTGGGAATGCTCTTTGCAGAGAGAGAGGAACAGCTACCATGCCTGGCTCCTTCCTGCCTCACTAACTCAGCAAAGTGGCTACTGCGCTCTCCATTTTTATAGGGACAACTGAGGCTCAAAGTGCCCTAAGGACACGCAGACAGTCCATGAAGACAAACCCATATTTGCTGGGAACCTCCTACGAGCCAGATGCTTTCCATGCGCAAATATTTCAATTAATCTAACCGCCCCAGTGCTTGCATTTGAATCCCCGTCTGTTGGCCTGGGGGGAGGCGGAGGATCCTGATGCTACAGATGTGGGGGGTTGGGGGGTAGTCAGGCGGCTGATGACCAGCTCGGGGGCTCCAGCGACTCAGGCCACCCTCCTGGGCCTCCCCCCTCGGCCGCACCTACCCTGAGCGCGGACACCGTGGGCAGGTCCATGTCCGGGGAGCTGGCGATGATCTTGTGAGCCGACAGGATGCCTGCAGCAGACGGGGCTCTTCAGCTGGGGGGCCGTGGCCCCGTGCTCCCCGCGGGGAGGCAGAACCCAAACCCACTAGGCTCCCGGGTGGCACTTTCCAGGAACCAGGAGAAAGCGATCTGTGTGCAAAACGGGCCAGCAGAGGGCGCCCCTAGGCCACGCTTTCCCAACAGCCAGCAGTTGTGGCTTTCAGCCCTGCCTGGGAAAATGTCTAGGAAGCTGTAGAGCAGCGGTTCTCAACCTGTGGGTCGCGACCCCTTTGGCGGTCGAACGACCCTTTCACAGGGGTCGCCTAAGACCATCCTGCATATCAGATATTTACATGACGATTCATAACAGTAGCAACATGACAGTGATGAAGTAGCAACGAAAATAATGTTATGGTTGGGGGTCACCACATGAGGAACTGTATTTAAAGGGCCAGAAGGTTGAGAACCACTGTTCTAAAGTGTGATAGCCAACAATTTCAACACTTGCTCCCCGTACCTGCCCCAACAGTTACAGGAGTGACCACATTACTGTAGTACTGATGACCAGATTTTCTTATTTGATCGCAAGTCGAATTGAAAAGAGTAAACACGTCGACAACAATGACAAGATTTCGGCTTCCATTCTAAGCGGACGGGCACCTGGAATCTGAATGCATGTCAGTCCTAGCTTCCTGTCCTTCTGAACTGAGACCTTGACCATGTCTTCTTGTAGCTCTTTCCTTCGTTTTCTCATCACGTTAACCTTGTCCCTCTAGAACGTTCTGTTTCCTCAACAACGGGCAGGCTTCTTGGTAAAATATAAAAACACAGAATAAAATGCGTTTTCTTTCTTTCTTGCAAAATGCCCTCCGTATCTGAGACGAGAACGCACAACCCATACTTGAGCCTCGGTTTGAAGCCCGGAGTGGCAGCTGGATCTCTAGCCCATACCAGAGCTCAGCCCAGCTCCTGGGAGAGGGCAACAATGGCAAATGGGCGTTTCCGCTCATAGATTACAGAACCTACACAGGTAAGTGCTTAGGATATAGTGCAGCGGATAATACGAAGGAGAGAGAAGCCTGGACAGGCTGCCCGGTGACCAGGGAGTCTTGTTCCTGGGGAGCGAATATTAGGAGGTGAGCTGAATGGTCAGAGGAAGCGAATTCAGAGAGCACAGAGCATCTGCCCATCAGCAACCCCCGTCTCTCCTGGTACCTGGGACACTTCTGAAGCGCCCACGTCAAGCCCCACGGTGGCCGTGCCCAGCGCCCTACGGCTCCAGCCGCCTTGGCACGAGCGCCCCGTCCGAGGCGCAGCTGCACTTCTGCACCCGCATGTCGGGCAGGCTGACCACCTGGGCGCGGAGCCTGCCGCCCTCCTTGATGCCGACGATCATGGGCAGCGAGGTGGTCTCCGAGGCGATGCACTGCCTCGGCCCCAGGAACGGCCACTTGAAGGTCAGGGCCTGCGGGGGCTGCTGGCAGGTGCCCACGCACTCATAGGCCAGGAAGCCCGGGGGCTCCAGCACCCAGTGCTCGGCCCACTTCATCCCCTGCAGGTCAATGTACATCTCCTGGCGGCAGCAGCGGGTCCCCTTGGTCACTGGGGCCTCGGGGTCACAGTTGCCCTGAGCTCTGTGGGGGGCAAGGAGAGGCGGGGGCAGAGGTCAGTTGGGAGGACTGAGGTCAGGGGACCCAGGGCGGGGCCCGGTGGGGCATCTGGGAGGGAGACGTGCGATGCATCTCCCGTGATGTTAAAAAAGCTGCATGTGTGTGATAAATGGTGAATGAATAAACATCCAAAACATAAATGAGTTCCTGTTTGTTAAAGGTCTCCTAGTATTCCAGGCACTGAACGAGGGACTTCACATGTCATCTCAGCTGGCACCTGCCTGTATCCTGACATACACCTCAGTGAGGGTCCAGCGTTATCCCTATGACCCTGAGGACGCGGGGACCCAAAGGTGTGAAGCGACATGCCAGAGGCCCTGCAGCCATGGCAGGAAGAGCTCCATGGAACGCAGGCTGTGTGATTCCTCAGGCCTGGGACTCCATGAAGAATCCAGGGTGTCAGGGGAAAGCTGTTCAACTTAGCAGCAGCTCATGCTAATAGTTTTCAAAGACTTAATTATGGGTGCCTGGCTGGGTGTCCACCCAGGAACCAAAAGGTCACTGGTTCAATTCCCAGTCAGGGCACATACCCAGGTTGTGGGCTTGATCCCCAGTAGGGGGCATGCAGGAGGTGGCTAATGGATGATGTTTCTCTCTCATCATTGATCTTTCTATCTCTCTCTCCCTCTCCTTTCCTCTCTCTCTAAAAATCAATAAAAACATATTTAACAAAAAAGAATTAATCATGGAAAAGGGTAAAATGAAATTAGATGATTGGAATAATGTGTGTCAATGACAACATAAAAACCCATTGAAAATATCTGAAGATGTTTTTCAATAAAATGTTTGAATAAAAAGTTTCACCATTAGAAACGGACATGCAGTGGGGATGGCTGGCCTCCTGGGCTGTCTGCTCACCCGCCCGGTGACCCCACTCCTCCCCGCAGGACCTACCCGAAGTCCCCGAGGTCCAGGGTGTGCAGCTCCAGCTGGGGCTCGCCCTGCGCGCCGTCCCAAGGCCCCTGGGAGGCAAAGCGGACCAGCCTGTGGGCGCTGGAGGCCAGCGGGCCCAGGTGCTCCCGCTGCACTGACACCTGCAGCAGCAGCGGCTCCTGGGGCCGGCTCAGCTGCTGCCAGAAGTTCACGGCCTCGGTCACGTCGAAGGCCTTCCAGCCGCTCTCGTGGATGGACACCAGCCTGCGACACAGGCGGGACCCGGGCTCTGAGTAGTGGGGCCCGGGAAGCCCCTCCCACCGCCTCCCATCCCTCTCCCCGAGATAGACCCCCTGCTCGCCCCCTCCTGTCCTCCCCTTTTCCTCTACCCTCTCCCCCCAGCACCCCCGGGCAACCTCCCCACCTGGAGTCAATGAGGGAGGTGCGGTTGGAGCCATCAGCACGGACGTGCAGCCACTCGATGGTGACCCGGGCCAGGTCGCTGCGAGGGGACAGCCTCTCGTGCCTGCGGAGCGCGGCCTCGGGGACCGGCTCCTGGAAGAGGCGCAGCACAGCCTGCACCAGCTCGCTGTTGGGGGGCAGCCGCCGCTCCATGCTGAGCACCAGCAGGTGCGTGGAGGCCTCGGACACCAGGAACCTGCCGGCCACCTCTGGGGACAACAGCAGGATCAGTGTGGCCTCTCCAGCCAAGGGGGCAGCTCTGAGGGGGGCAGGGCTGGGCCTGGGTTTCCCCAGAAACGCACAGGGAGAACCTGGGGCCTGGGAAATGGGGGGCCAGGTGCGAAAGAGAGCACCTCCACCTTCAAAAACTCCCGGCCCTGCTGGTGTGGCTCGGTGGTTGCCCACTGACCCATGATCCAGGAGGTCAGGGTTCGACTCCCGGTCAGGGCACATGCCTGGGTTGCGGGCTCGGTCCCCAGGGTGGGGCGTGCAGGAGGCAGCCGATGGATGAAGTTTCTCTCTCGTTGATGTTTCTATCTCTCT